TTCAATATTGATGAGTACTAACTCTTTTATATTGCTTTTGCGAAACGAATAAATATACATACAAATCATCGGATCATTTGCCGCTGTTCGCCTGTCAACATGGAATTGCTGATTTGAACGGGCCTCCTGGACGAATCAGATGGTGTTCCTTTTACTTACGTTATCAAGTCTTCTTGTCTTTTCTCTTTAGATAAATATATATGATCCAATACTTTCAGTCGATGCCAATATATTTTGCACATATGCAGATTAGATATATACGTGGATTACACAAATGAGGCAATAAACGCACATATTGTTATTGCAAGGCATAATTGTACCTTTCTATTTATCAATGCTGGCCTAAACTGATTCAGTGCCCAATGTGAAACACATTATGATTAAATCTGGGTAGAGACAAATTTAATAACTGTGAGATTTGAGATTTAATAAAATAAAATGAATTCGTCTTCACAAGTGTTAATCTGGATAAATGTTGCCTCAGCACTATTTTGGGTACAGAAAAACGCAAAAATTTCGCGTGAACGCCGCAACCGTTTGAAACCATTACAATATTTGCCTTCAGCATTATAAACGGTTTTGAATGTTTCATATCCACGCTAAACATTGTCATGAAGTCGAGTAGCATACCAGAAATTGGATGTGCTGTATAAAGCTCCCGCCAAAAGACACTCCCGCCAACGCTCAAAATTAATATTTATCCAGTTTGGGTTGGGGGTTAGGAATGAATATTGCGATGGACATCATTCCTAACCCTAACTCCAGCCAAGTACACGGCTCAAACCAACCAAGCATCGTAAGATTTGCAAAAAAGATGCTATTTAATTAATTATTAGAGATGGCTCACAGCAATCCGCTCGCGATGAAAAGATACGATTGATTAATTAAAAAGGTCCGACATCTTTTGAGCATTGCTCTCTTGTTAGTTATAAAGAGCAAAATATATTCAGCATTAAAAATAGACTTCGTGAAGGGACTGATGGACACATGTATAACAGTTATGAATATAAAGTTAACAAATTCTGTAAATTTTGTTGCTTTGCATGTTTCTTCGTACATGTAGTCCTATTTAGTGGACGCTAAACCTAAATTTAACAATTTGTATCGAGTTTTATTCCAATGGGAATCCTATAGGATGGGAATGGGACAGAAAAATATGTCCCCATGGACATGCCTAGTAATTATCCAGTTAGGGATAAGAATGCAGATTGAGCTGGAAACTCAAAATTTCAAATCATTCCTAAGCCTAACTGTATAATATTAAATAATTGGTTATTTTAAAACGTGGCGTTTTTTTTCAAATTTTGCATTAGTGGCGGGGGCTTTGTACAAAAAAATCCAAAGTGTGATGATTTGCTAGTAAAAACATTTCTTTGATAAAAGTTCCCACTGAGCAAAATTTTCAATCCGGTTTCAAATTTTGCAGACTGCACCCTGGACTGTACCACGGTAAAAGAATTTTTGAGTCTCTGATAATTGACCTTTGTATTCTTATTAGCTTCGATTGTAATTTGATTGTGAGAATTCGAATTGAACGGAAAACTATTATACCAAATCTCGTCAGGTAGTGTTATAGTTTCCCCAGTTGAAGAATGGGTTTCCCCGTTCGAATTCTGTAAAAAATATTATTTGAGATTAATTTGAAAACGTACTAAATTCAAAAGATGTTTTACTGCTTTTTTGTTAACAAGTTACTTGAAAAGCAGTCATGGTATGAGTAGAGGGAGGTTCTATGAACTGCGATGGCAATATATATCTAGACCTGGCATGGGCAAACTGTAAATAGCCCTAAACTAAGGCACACAAATAATTGACAACCTCGAGTTGCAACAAGAAATTCTATTCTTCACACTCTCGCCAAAAACACCTTTTCCCATACAGTGCTACATTGCAAGAAAAACGTTTTAACTCAAGAGAATAAAAGAAACAAAGAAATTGAGCAAGACTGGTATTGCATCATCATTGGCAAGGCGCCAACCTTTTTCTTAGTGTCTCTCCTTTTACTAAATAGGAGAGAACTTATTTCTTTAACATGTTATAAACAAGCTTGGACTTGCAAAGTGATGTGCAATTAAGTAGGGGAGAGTGGGGCACAGTGGCCCTCATTTTTTCTTTGGCGATTTTCGAACTATTTACTACGCTATTTCAACTTCTAAAGCATATGACTACATTGTAAGAGAAACGAACTTTTTATTTCTTACCAAAGAATTTGCTCAATGGAATATTTTTCCTGTGAGCCAGGTTTTTTAAAAAAAAAAATTTGTCCCACTGTGCCCCGACGTCGGTATACAGTGGGACGATGGTTGGGTCACAGTGGGACACTGAGGAGGAAATAATTTATAAAGAACAAAACACCATCAGGAAAGAAATTTTGCTGAAATATCGAGCCCTTATTCGTCCTTCAAAGCTACTGGATATTCCTTGTGTGAGATCTTCACTAAATCGGTAGTGTCTGGGAAGCTCTTGCCGTGCCGCCAACTTTAACTGGAGCTTCAAGGCGACAGACTACATCTTCTTCATCCAGCCCGAATGTGCTTTCTTCATCTTCAGGGAAAACAAAAGCGGAATTTGTTGCTTTCGACAGGATTCTTTGCATAAATATAACTTCAAATTCCTTCTCGTCGTCGTCTTTGTCAAGAATTTTACCGACGTAATGCAACGCGTTTCCACCACGCCTTCTACTGAATTTAATAATGGCAAAATCCCCCACAGCTGCCACCCGATCTACACTATCGTCTACACGCGAATCAACTTCACTTTCCAGGTCGCTATCGTCATTCAAGGGGACAGATGATTCATCACTGCTCGTTTCAGCAGGTGCCGCAGCCTTCTTTTGCTTGGGGTTCTTTTTAGAGCTTTTGATTTTGGATTGTGAGTTAGTTAATTTAGCTGTTAAAGCCTCTTTCACCGGCGTATCCGTGAGAACTAGCGTCTTTGAGCTCTTTCTCCCACACTTTTTTCTTCGCGGACAGGCTTTGTTGAACGGTCTGACATCTTCTGGTGAGAAATGTGCAGTAGTGCCGGAGGTCCCAGGCAAAGAGCTTACATCGGCGTTGCTTGGCGCAGCCTGACACTCTTCGCTATCATCTTCTTTTGGTTCTGGGCGATCTGTAACAAAGGAAGACAAGAACTCATGGTCGCCAAATATATCTCGATCAAACGGAAATATTCCAGACACCCGAAATCCCGACTGAATATTTTCAGGCGTGAACGCGCGAATGTATGCTGTTTTAGCAAATCCGGCGATATCGTATATCGTTAGAGTTTTGCCTGCATGCTCTGGAAGAGTTAGCCACGCATCAACGGCGTTATTGTAGTAATGTTTCAGCGGCCCGTATACTGACCTGTCCAGAGGCTGTAGTTTGTGACTACAGTGGGGTGGAAATGTGAGGAGAACCAGACCATTTTCCTTTGCGTAATTGAGAGAATCAATCGTGATGTGACTCTTGTGGTTGTCCATTAGTAATAGTGCGGGAGTTGAAGGTGTGCAGTTTGCATGTTTCACGAAATGTTTCATCCATGAAAGAAAAATTTCTGAATTTATCCAACCAGTTTTGTTTGCAAACCCAGCTGCACCAAGTGGCGCACCTCTCAGCATATGTTCTCTGAAGTTGACTCTAGGAAAAATGAAGCACGGAGGTATGGAGTTTTCCTAGTGCATTGACTGATCCTATCATTGTCACAAGAAGTCCCTTTCGGCCGAAGTAATCTTCCCCACTTGCTTTATACCTGTTTCGGCAATGATCTTGGACGGCACTTGAACGTAGTTAACCCGGTTTCGTCCATGTTATATATGGAATTTGGCTTTAAACTTGTTACGCTTCATTACGGAATCAAGGTTATCAAAGAATTCGCCAACATTTTTCCTGTTGAAACTGGTAGCTCTCGACAAACTTGTGGCTTCTGGTTTGCGCAGAGAGAGTTTAGGATGACGCTGCATGAATCCGTACAGCCAGTCGCTTCCTGCTCTACTGTTCTCAACCCATGACCGCGGAATGTTTGTTCCATTTTTAACTGCCATTTTATACGCTAGCTCTCGAACCTCGTCTTTTCGAAGCCCGTAGTGGTGTCTGGATGCCTGTAGCAGATAACTCAAAAGCTCACCTTCTTCCTCATCCGAAAATATTCTTCTTACCGTGTAGTTAGGACGAAAATACTCGAGGCTATCTGAGGGCGCTGAGTCGGACACAGAACTTTCTGACATAAACTTCAGTTTTTTGACCGTACCTTGATAGAGTTGTTTTGGGAATGGCATTTTCTCTTGCAGTTGTACGCAGTTTTTGCCTTCATGAATCACCTGCTCCGCTTGCTCTCTTCATAATCAATGGATCGATCTGTCCTATGGAGGTTTTTCTTTTCCTTTCACGTGGCATTTTTGCTAGTTTGTTTATTTAAATCAATTTAGGGTTGCTTCTGAAATAGGAATGACAATCCAACATTGCAACTAGCAAGCAGGAGCGGGGACAGAAGGTAGGCTACTCTAGGTCCCTCAAACCCTACAGAACTGTGGAGGGGTTCAGTGGGACACGCCCCAGTGTGTACTCGTGGTTGATGTCCCACTGTGCCCAAGCTCACCATTTGGGATAATTGACCCTCTCACGACAAGTAGGCTAGAAGTGCCGATCTATCTTATACCCGTTCATAAGCCACTGTGGGGCACCTACCTGGCATGCAATATGGGCGAAAAAAGTCATGCGGGCTGCAGTTTAGAAGAAAAAAAACTCCGGCAATTTATTTTTACTTTGGCCCCCAAAAACAACGAAAGTCTCCTAACTTTTTCCAATACGACCTACCGGCGCAAATAAATTCCTAGAGGACAGGGCTTGACCGTGACTTTTTTCAGTTTGGTCACGTGCCCGGTACGACCAACCGGTTGTCGCTAGTGGATAGATTGGACCACTGTGCCCCATGGGCCACCGTGCCCCACTCTCCCCTATGGCCCTGGAAAGTTATTTATAAGTGATAACACATTAACATATTCCCCAGTTTTTCTTTTTAAATTAAAATTGACCATTACATAAAATGTCCACAAGTTTTGATGATGATACTCCACTCTTTGTTAGGGTATCTGCCAGCTGTAGTTTTCCTTCAACCCAGTAAACATTTGAAACCTCCTTGTTTTTGATCATTTCTTTCACAATTGCAATATCCACTCGTAGTCTCTTATCTTGAACCTGTTTATTTGATTTAATCGCCTCGTATAAAGAAAGATTGTCAATCACCAATTCGATAGGTAGCTTTTCATCATTGATGTCACCATTCCAAATTTCAGCAAACAATGAAGCCACAAACGCTGCTGTGTCAATGCCATTTGATAATGCCAAAGTTTCAGCTGCTAAAGAGCTCTTGACAACTCGACGGATGCGTTTTGATTCCCAGCTTAGTAAATTGCAGTATCCACTTTCTCCTACCAGAAATACAAGACTTCCAGATTGGCTGCCTCCATCATTCAGACTTGCAAATGATGCATCAGTGTAACAGACAAGATTTAGATTTTCATTCGGTCCTAGATTTTGAAATTTCAAGCTGAATGGGTTTGACTTCAATTTGCGCAAGACTTTGTTTGCAAGAAACAAATCTCTCACAGTCGCATTTTTGAAATTGGTTGCCAGAATACATACATCATATGCAATGTCCGGTCTTGTTTGGCCACTGACCCATAAAAATTGTCCAATTTTTGATCTCAATTCATCTCGCTCTTTGATTGTAACTGAATCATCACTATTTCGCCCAGAATGTATCTTTATCGGAGTCAAATTTGAAATATATTCGGTTTGATTGAGCAAAACTTCATTTTTGTCATGGTCAATCTCAATTCCAATATACTTGAAGCTTTTAGATTCTTCATTCCCAATTTTGAATGTCTCGCGCAGCTTGGGTAGCACACTCTGTTGAAATTTTACTGTTCCGGCCCATAGAAAGTCGTCAACATGAACTGCAATTATTCCCTGCAATGATTTTGCTTCATGCCAGCAGAACACTGCAGGATCATTCTTTGTCATTTTCCCTTTGTTTTCCAACATAAAACGCTTTACCCTACCATACCACTGCAGGGAAGCATCTGTAAGGCCGTAGACACACTTTTTGAGTCTCCAAATTTTTCCTGGCATACATTTAGCTTCTCTAGGAGGAATGAGGTATACATTCCGCTGCAGTTTCTCTCCTTGCAGAAAGGCAGTTTTTATATCTATGCTCTGCAATCTCCAACCTTTTTGAGCTGTGATGGCAATCACAGTACGCAAAGCATCTTTGCTGCAAGTGGGTGAATCTTTCTCCACATTATCAATGTCAGGATCCTGAAACCACGAGCTACAAGTCTTGCTTTTGGTAATATTCCTTTGTCTGTATTCTTTAGGAAACACACCCACTTCACAGATATGCATTTTTGGCCTTCATTTGCACACTCATCAAACACATCATTTTCTTGCCAGCTTTGCAGTTCTTTTGCTTTAGCTTCATCAAAATCAATATCTTCCGTGACGAATACATGACTTTCTTTTCTGACATTATTTAGAACCATGGATTCTTGTTGAGGTGGTATCACTTGCAGTTCTTGAACCTGATCAAAATCAACACAGTGCTTCACACCAGAAAGATGTGAAGGTGATTTATATTCAACATTAAAACAATTCCGATATTTGCCAGTTGCCTTTCCTGCCCTGTTTAAGATTTCTGCTTCACACAAAATTCCATCATTTTTAAATGTAACCATTTGATTCTTCTTGAGAACCATGTTGTGGACCTGATCATAGCTTGGTTCTTCATTACAACTCTGGCAAGGAATATGAGCTTGTTCTTCAGATGAATCCGGATGCCTTTCTTGCAGTGTTTCAGGCAAAGCTGTTTCCTCAACTTGTGAAATTTCAGTTTTTTCATAATCAGTATCATTTGAAATCTCGCTCTGTTGTTCGTCAATTTGACGGGAGACATGATTGAGCGAGTTGTTGTTCTGCTTCAATTTCTGGACTCTGCTTGTATGTGCCCTTATGAGTTGTCCACCATGCCGCAAGAATACCAACACACCATCTTTTCCTAAAACTCGTCCTGGTCCCTTCCATTCATTGCTGTCATTCCTTTTATAGTAGACATCTTCCCCAATTTCAAAATTGCCACTATATGGTCGTGTGTTGCTTCGCAATGCCCTTCTTATTCTTTGTGACGATTCTGCCTCGATGAATGCTTTTCTTGAGGCATGCAATGTGTTGATATGTTCACCAACTTTTTCACTGATTGTTTTTCCTTCCAGGGCAGGTAGATCATCTTTCATCACAGATGGCAGGTTTATATTTCTTCCAAACATAATCTGGGTTGGACTGAATCCACTGTTGTTAACCAGTGAATTCTTTGCACAAACTGACCAAGCAAGTGCTGTCTCCCAGTTGCATTGAACATCTTTCTTGATCTTTATAAGAATATTTGTGAGTATTTGATTATGACGCTCACACACACCATTTGACCATGGTGAATAGGCGGGTGTTGTCTTTACAGAGATGTTGAAGTTTTCGCACATATCACGAAATTCCTCATTATTAAATTCTCCACCGTTGTCGGAAATTACCCTGCGTGGTGCACCAAAAATGCTCACCCAGAACTGCAAAAACTTTTGAATGATTATTTTTGGTGATTTTGAGTGAATCAATGCAGCGTTACTATATCTAGAAAACTCATCAATGACATGTAAATACCAAAGGCTTGGTCCAAGCTGATGCAAATCAAGAGCCACAGTTTCGTTTACTTCATTAGATCGAGGCAAACCGACCACTGGTCTAGGAGGTGCTCTTTTATGCAACAAACAAATTTCGCATTCATTTGTCACCTCTCGAATGATTGATGTTATGTCAGAACTCAAGCTCTTGTTTCCAGTCTTAATTAGTCGAATCAGATTATCTTCAGAAGCATGGCCGAATTGTTTGTGTAATTTCAAAATTTCTTTTCTCATTTCTTTATCGGACTTTGTATAAATTGATGAAGTGAACACATCTTTTCTGTCTCTTTGTTGAATCTTTGAAGCCTGACAAGGATGTATATCAATACAATAATGTCCATTTGTGGTAAACTGGAGCTCAACAGGCTTTCCCAGCATAATTGCTTCATCATTTTCAAGATTAATTGTTGTCCCTGCTTTTTTCAGTGTTGACTTACTTAACAGCAGAGGCAATTTATCTTTCACCACGTCAGCCTTAATGTAGCATAACGCACCTGAAATGATAGCTGGAAGCATAACACTCTTGGTGGAAATTACTTCTCTCCCATCTCCGAACTTGAAACCAGTTCCACCCTTCTGGATCTTGACAGACTTCTTGAAGTTGTCATCCAATTTGTCAACATAGTCACTGAACCAGCTCTCACCACAGACAGTCTTTGTGCATGCAGTATCGAGAATAGCACAACCAGATGTTTCTGTAACATAAATTTCATTGTCTTGACATTCGGTAAGAAAAATAGCATTCACAAACTCCATCGGATTTTCAACAACTTCTTCATCACTATCTGGTTGACATTTTGAAGGGCGAGGATCATCGATTCCTTCGGCTACATGTACGCTTTTGTGCCTGGGGTTATGAGGACATTTGTCAGCCCAGTGCATTTTTTGAGTCGCACACAGCGCATCTGGATATCTCTCCAAGTTTATTCTTTGGATTGTACTGTTTATTTTCATGTCAGGTTTGAAAAACTGTCTTTGGCCGAAATACTTTCTGTTTGCATAATATGCCTCTGCCTTTATGTTGATTGCCTTCGCATTTTCATCATCATTTTCATTTCCAAGAGGTTTGCTTGGAAAAATCCTTTTTAGAGCTGACTTCATTGTATCGTATTTCATATCGCTCGCAAGAGTGAATGCAAGCTGTCTTTCTGAAGATTGAATTTTTGCTGCATCGATAAGTTTAAAAGCCAAAATTGAATCTGGGAGTTCCATCTTATGTTCACTCATTTTGTGGTATCGATGTTCAAATTCAACAATGAAATCGTTCATTCCCACATCGCACAATTTTTCAAAACAGTTAAACCTTGCATAAGCTTCATAAGCATCATCAACCTGGTCTTTCTTAAAAACCGTATCCAACTTATTAAGCAAAGTCTTCATGCCATTTTCTGTATGTAGCTGATCAGCATAAACTCAGAAGCAGCTTTTTCAGCTCTATTATTGCCCTCAAATGCAGTCAGAAGCACAATTATAGCTTGCTCCTTTTTGGCATATCCGGTTACAAGAGTCCACATTTCAAGTTTATTCTTCCAATTTGCATAAGATATTCCATCATGGAATTTTGGAGGATTTTGTCTTGTACTCACATTTTGAATTGAACTAGGTACACTCACACTTGAGCTAGGATTTCCACTTGGACTGTCAGTAGACATCTTATATAAATATATATTCTTCAGCAAAATATTAAAAGCAGGGAACCATCCTCTGCTACCATGTAAATAGCCCTAAACTAAGGCACACAAATAATTGACAACCTCGAGTTGCAACAAGAAATTCTATTATTCCCATTCTCGCCAAAAACACCTTTTCCCATACAGTGCTACATTGCAAGAAAAACGTTTTAACTCAAGAGAATAAAAGAAACAAAGAAATTGAGCAAGACTGGTATTGCATCATCATTGGCAAGGCGCCAACCTTTTTCTTAGTGTCTCTCCTTTTACTAAATAGGAGAGAACTTATTTCTTTAACATGTTATAAACAAGCTTGGACTTGCAAAGTGATGTGCAATTAAGTATGGCCCTGGAAAGTTATTTATAAGTGATAACACATTAACACAAACTACAGCCCGCGGGACAAATCCGAACTACTGGGTAATTCAATCTGGCCCGCCTGATGCTGCCACAGCTAAACTGAAACAAAATTTTGATGTTTTAGCTAAAAATAGCTCATGGAATTTGTTGAGACTGCGGTTAAATTTAGTTTCGGCACGAGGCTCATTGTTTTCCACTTTTGCTCTGCAACACTGTAAATATTGTTCATGATATAAAAAATTTTACGTCACACTTACATGGCGCGCTAGATTAGGTGGACAAATTTTTTGGTTCCTGGTTCAAAAATCTCGCCCACCCCTGCTAGACACATAAACTGTCATAATCTGGTAAAATATGAATGAAGGTTCATGTTATTTGAAGGCCAGATTCTTCCCGGTTCAGGATATATCACTCCTGGGGTTCCAGTCGGTATTTGCCCAGTTCCGATCGATATCGACACAAAGGGTACATTTAACAGCCTCGGCCACGTTCCGTCATTGCTTTATAATATAACGGTGTTATTAGCCCGATATTATATGGCGTTCATTAAAGAAACAAATGTTCAAGATATGGTTTAGAAAAGGCAGCCGGAGGGCGCCAATTACCGTATTTCCCGGCGTATCAGTCGCTTTTCTAGACCCAAATTTTTGGCCTGATTTTGGGGGGATCGTTTTATTGGACGAGTATGATAATTTTATGTTTTGGTGTCGCCTCATTATGTATTATGTAATGTTCGTCTATTGTGGACGCAATCGCGAGTTGAACACAATTAGATTAAAATTTAAAGACAGTTTGAATTCCCGTGGTTATTATGGATTGAATATTAAGCTACAAGTAAACGCCAATATAGGCTATTTTAACCAATGCGCAAACGCGGCGATCGCTTAAAAGGCATTGCATGGTAATTTAAGATTCCGATGTTGATGCGATTTTACTACCCCGACTTATTGGCAGGTTATATGCAAAACCCATTTTTTTATGCTTAAAAACGGGCCTCGTCTTATTGACCGGGTAGAATTATTCGCCGGGAAATACGGTGATCGTCCGTTGAGTATGACCTCGAATTCTAAAGGGCTTTCGTGATAAATTTTGTTATGTCGGAGTCGTGAAATTTCAATAATTAATTGCAAGTTGGTAAAATCTCTTACTGCCCTTATTCATTCTATCAACCAATCTATGAAGTACCGTGCCAAGATATGTAGGCACATATGCAGCCACTTTAGTTTTTGAAACATCAAAATAACTTAATTCCTGTAAAAATAGTGAAAAATAAGACTAATTAATACTGAAATTACAATTATAAATTCCGTGAAATCGAATTTCGAAAGTTATTATGTATTATTAGTATTATTTAATTTGTTTTTCAATATTTTCACATGTATTAGGTTATTTTGGTGTTTCAAGAAATAAAGTAACTACACATACGTCAGGGCCGTAAAATTCCGATAAAATCTTAATTAGTAGAGCTAATTACTGACCTGATATCCAATTCCTGTCCAAAATGATCTATACTCAAGCCCAAATGTTGTCCGTAGATAAGCCATCATTGAACGGAAATGTTCCACATCATAAATGTTGGCGAGTTGTGCTCCTCCGGCCGCTTTGCAAAGTTCTTTAGCGTGTCAAACTTTAATAAAGAAAATTTTAGACACGATGCGGAAAACGCCTTTGACAACTTCATGGCCACAGAACTATCTAATACCAACTTCAATCAGAGGTTTAACACTTTTATTAGCATAATAAAATGCATACTTGACAGGAACGCGCCCATGGGAAAATGCTCACGCAAAGTGACTAGACTGACAAACAAACCATGGATAACCAAAGGTATCTTAATATCGATAAGGAACAAGAATTTGTTGCATAAAAAGCATTACATACTAGGCACCCCAAGTCAACAAAGAAACTACAAAAAGTATAAGAATACTTTAACCCACATTATCAGAAGATCCAAACAAAATCATTACCTTACTAAAGTAAAAAATTATAGGGGGGACATGAAACACACTTGGCGGACAATTAAGGAAATTGTGAACGTAAAATCGAATTCAAGTACTTCAATTCCAGAACTTACCCTTAGAAATGGCTCCAAAAGCACCACCCATTTGTAATTGCAACGAACTTAACTATTTTTTCACAAGCATCGGTAAAAATCTTATTGACAGTGTGCCACCTTCTAATAAAAATTTCAAAGAATTTCTTCGCTCCACCACAAGGAATTCAATATACTTCCGAGCTACCACTGTTAATGCAGGTTTTTAACACAATATTAGCATTGAAAAAGGGAAAAGCGGTTGGGGATGACAACATTTCCTCTTACTTTCTCAAGATCATTGCCGACATTATTTCCCCGATCATTGTGTACTTCTTCAATGCTTCTTTAATAATGGGCATCTTCCCATCAGCCCTCAAACTAGCCCGCGTCATTTCCATTATTTAAATCTGGGAATAAAACAGATCCATCAAATTACAGACTCATTTCTATTTTATCAAGTATTGCTATTGTCTTTGAAAAACTCTTATATCACAGGTTAATGGATTTTTGTCAAAATTTCAACCTTATTAATAAATACCAATTTGGGTTTCAGAATAATCACTCTACAAATCATGCTATTATCGACTTAGTTGAATACATCTATGAAAATTTGAACGTGGTGAACATATATGTTGCGTATTTTTAGACTTGAAAAAGGCCTTTGATACTGTTAGCCATGATATCCTACTCGATAAACTCCACCATTATGGAATCCGCGGTTGTGCCAACCTTTTTAAAGACTACCTCACGGGTAGGCAGCAATATGTTGAAATTGGCACTAACCGGTCTGAAGTGCTTCCCATAAAAACAGGAATTGTCCAGGGCAGCTGTCTTGGCCCACTGTTTTTCGTTTTATATATCAATGACATCTCAAATTGCTCTGACCTCTTGACAAAATTGTTCGCAGATGACACCGGTCTTCTCGACAGTGCGAAATCTGTGTTGACCTTAGAAAAACATGTAAATATCGAGATGGCAAAGGTATTCGAATGGATGATTAGCAACAAGCTAACAATCAATATTAATAAATCTAAAATTGTTCATATATGCCCTTAACAACGTCATCAAGTCACCGCAATTTCTATTAACATCAATGGAACAGAGCTAGAATCTGTCCCTTCTTACAAATATCTAGGACTAAATATAGATAACTGCTTACGTTGGGATGTCCATGTTAATGATATTCGTAAAAAACTTTCTCGAACTGTAGGTATGTTAGGTAAACTTCAACACTATATAGATACAGCAACCCTTAAATTGGTATATTTCTCACTTTTTGAAACATATATCCAATATGCTATTGTAGCTTGGGGATCCACATCTCAATCAATTTTGCATCGAATCAATGTACTTCAGAACAGGGCGGTTAAAATCCTTTATCGTTCGTCTGATCGCATAAATCTTAACATAATTTATAACAAAATTAATGTTTTAAAGCTTGCAGATATTTATAAATTAGAGATCTGCAAGCTTATGCACAAATATCACAACCATTGTCTACCAAGTGCTTTTGATGGTTATTTTATACGACAAAGTACTATACACACACATAACACAAGATCAGCCTCCACACACTCTTTTTATTAACGTCGTTTGTCACATTCCATAACCCAAAATTGCCTAAAGTACACTGGAGCAAAAATGTGGAACAATTTACCAAGTGAGTTAAAAAGCATGTCCCACCAGATATTCAAATCAAATCTAAAAAGACATTTAGTGTCTCAATATATACTTTAGGATGGACAAAAACTATTAATTGTGCTATGTTACATGAATAAGTATTACAAATTATGTTTCATATTTTAGTATTAGTTAACATCAATTTACCAGTTTAAGCAATGGAGTATTCCTATCACAGTGCTTCCTATATTCAGATATTTCTATCATTGAAGGACTCCATAGTCTAGTGATTTTATACCAACAGTTATTTTCACCTCAACAAATGTCAATATTGTTTTTTCATTGTATTCTTATCACAGTCTGACAGTATCAAATCATTTATATTTGTTCCTAATATTTTTCTAGTTAGCTTACAAGCAGTACGGTAACGGTACTGAGATAACGCGTCAGGACACCAATGGTGAATATTTATTTCAACATCCAGCGTGCTAATTTCACTTTATTTATTTACCTGATCGGTGTCCATTGCTATATCGCTTCATAGCACAACCACGTTGTGGTCAGGTCACCTTCAAAATTCCCCAGTTATTCTACAGAACAACATTTCGCTACAGCTACGTCTATGCAAAAGGGAAATCCCCCGTTATTCGCTGCTATCATGGCACATTTAATGCACGGTAATTTTTAGTAATAAT